CTGTACCACTGAGCTACACTACCCCAGCCTTACATTGTGTTGGCAGACTTCTTAAAAACTCTTTGTTTCTTACATCTTTTTCTGTCTACTCCACCCCAATCCTTTCCAACACCCTAACACTAGGTGGGAGAGAGAAAGGGTTAGTGGGAGAGGGGCCATAGTTCTCTTAGCTGCTTCCTGCTGGTTAGGGTCGTCAGGTTCCTTGGAGCCAATCCAATCCTCGGTTCAGGAGATCTTCAACTTCTTGTCTCACTACAGCAACCAGGAGCAGCAAGGGGGAACTATACATCGGACAATGTTTTTTTATAATCCATTGTTAGACTTAAAAACTGTTTAACGGAGAATACACTGGGTTTTGAATGCTGCTCAAACAAGTTCTCACGAACCTGATGACATACAACCACACAACCATCCTGGAGGCCATACTCTGAAGTCAGGTTTTTCAGATCTCTTGTCAAGTTGTCAGGAGAACTGGTTCTTTCTAGAAGCTGCTAGAGGCTTACTTGGCTGTGGCTGCATCACTCCAGTCTCTGTGCTGTCATACTGTCTCAGAGTAAGTTTTTTTCTGTGTAAGGTCGCATTCACAGATTCCAGAAGTCAGGAGGTGAGTCTGTTGGGTTACTGATGGTGAGGGGATTAGGCAGCTTACTGCACAGAATAATACCCGAGTCTCTGAATTGGAGGCATGGGAAGATATGCACCGATGTGTGTCTGGAGACATAGAAACACAAGGTAGATGAGAGGAGTCAAGACAAGAAATGCTCCTAAACGGCTGTTTATGGAGAATCAGATAAACCTGAGAAGTTTGGTCTGCTCTGATCTTGCCAGGGAAGAAAGCTTATAGCATAGTCTCCATGTGCTCAGTAAATGCCATTCAACAATACTTAAAAAAAAAAAAAAATCATTATTGTATGTGCGCATGATGGGGCACATGTGCCACGGTGAAGAACAGAGGAGAACTCTGTAGCATTAGTTCTTGCCTTCCACCATTATTTGAGTTCCAGGGATTGAACTTAGTTAGGTTGGCAGGCTTGCATGGAAAGCACCTTTGCCTGCTGAGTCCTCTTGCTAACTGTCAGAACTGCTGAGCTGTGCATTTCAGGTGATTAGGATAGTGAATTTTTATGTGCTTTTTTTTTTTTCCACAGTAAAAAGAAAAAGCATTTCTATGGGTGTTGAAACTGTTCTTTAAAAAAGCTTGAGACAAATAGAAGTCATATGAGCTTTTGCCAATAGTTGCTGACTAATGGTCCAAAACAGTACAAAGCCCTGTTATCAGCACCCGCCTTTATGTATCAGCCCCTCCCATTTCTTACACTAACAGCGTTACAACTACAATGGAGGACTAGGACAAAGAGCGCTAAGGAGGCAGAAGGGATATTTGCTCAGGTCAAAGACAGGTAACTGAAAAGCAGTGATTAGAATTTTAGCTGTCTACCTGCCTCCCTGTTGTCACTTGGCGGTATGTGTGTGTTTTACGTGTTTTAAACATTTTTATTAATTCTTTGAGAATTGTGTACAACATATTTTGAATATACTCACTCCCCCCATTTTCCAATTCCTTCCCATTTCTTCCCACTAAACTTTGGGATTTCTCTTTGCCCCTTGCCTGTATTTGTAAATAGTTAATAAGCCTTTAATTTGAGTGGGTAGTTCCATAAATACAGACTAAGTTAGAGTTTTCTAGAAATAGTTCTCTTGTGTTGTTCTTCGGAAAAAAAACGACATTGGCTATTAGCCACTTTTAGGGACTTGTGCTAATGTACTCCTCTCTTTTATGACATTAACATTTAAAAATCAGCAACTTAGAAAACAAACAGTTACCATTACGCTCCGAGGGCTCCACTTCCTAAGGGTGACATAAATAGGAAAGACAAATAAAGCTCACGCAGTTCGGCGGGTCAGAGTCTAAAAATAAACCCTGAGTAAAATGCTTAGGGTGCAATGTTCATTTTGTTCCAAGTGAAGGAAAGCACACGGGAGAGGTTTTGCCTTGCATGATAGAATTTGCTGTACCGATTTGCTTCTTTTTATGTGTTAGGGAAAACAACTAATTCTTCCAAAATTCTAAAACTTCTGTAGTATTTGACAGGTAGGGGAATAAGCCTTACTGAATAGTGTGTGCTACGAATAGTCACCCGTCCTAGGCTTTCCTGACACACACATGGAACTTGCTTATCTAAAACAGCAGCTCCTGAGGAAACGCCCTCTGAGAACTTAGCTCTTCATGATAGATGTACACTAAGGCTCACTCCATTTTCTAACCCATAGACTCTTGTGCTGAGGTGATTGCTCTATGAACTTGGTGACAAGTCAAAAGAAACTTTTGCTTTTTTTTAAGAAAAAAACATGCTAGGGTTGTGTAAACTAAACCCTTTTCTAGGACCCTGGTATAGTCTGTGCTGGACTAATGAGACATAGATAGAATCCTCCAAGCATAATGCTTGACAGACCCCTCTAATTCACTGAAACTTTCTCCTTCAGTCCTTGAAAGGACCTTCAAAGACTTTGCAAATGGAACACATGGTAGATTTCCTGCCATCTGTGTTTCTAGAATGACAATTCTAAGACCCTCACATAAAATACTTTAGTGTGTGTGTGTGTGTGTGTGTGTGTGTGTGTGTAAACTTAAAAGCACATTTGCCCTTTTTGGATAGAAATATATATATAAAATATCAGATAAATATTCTAGTTGGTTTTTACTTAAATAAGCAATGGAATATGTAGGCTGGATAGGGTATTAGTAAGCTCAGAGAAACAAAGGAGCAAACAGCAAATGCATAAACGATCAGTGACACTCCCTCCCTCCCTCATACCCCGAAACAGCTACAAGACTTTCTGGTCTGATCCTGAAACTTGGAGTATAGTCTAACAGGAGGGAATCATTGTTTTCTTAGGTACTGAAGGGACTCTGGCCAGCATGAGGGTGGTGAAGGTGGTGAACATGGCTTTTCTCCCTTATTCCCTCTGCCTTGCTAAAAAACCGTTAGATTACATTTCTGAAGCTATCCACAAAGTTCTGTTCCCTTATTTGGCCATTTCCTTCTCCTGAGGCCAACTACCAAGGTCCAGCTATCAACTTATTGAAGTCCAGCAATCAAAAGCCCCCTTTGGCTCACTGACTTAACATGCCCAATCAAAATTAAACACCTTATCCTAACACAGGGTTTTCCATTTTACCCTTGTAAACCATCATTTGCCTATGGGCCACGTCCCTCTCCTCTCTGTCCAGAGGCAGGGCTTTGCCCTCCTCTGGGACAAATACCCCTTGCCCCTCTCCCTTGTTTCCTTACCCTTCTTCATCATCCCCTATCTCCTGTCCTTGTCTCTTATTCCCTGCCCTTTGTCCCTCTGGGGAAATAAATTCTCTGTGCTGAAAACTTGACCTTGGGTGTTTTGAGCCAATACTGTCCTCTTACAGGTATGAAAATGCTATTGTGGTTATCAAGCCGGAATCTTCTTAGAAGAGTCGGCTAAATTATTTATGCATTATTGTGTCTGAAACTTACTCAAACGGCATAAAAGTGCTTCTTTTTGTGTGTATATGAAATGTTTTCACAATGACTGATGGAATAAGGGCAAGAAATGACATGTTTAAAGTTCGTTAGCAAAGAACAGTAAGAAGAGCATAGGAGCAGTAATTTCAACCTTTCCTTTGGGTTTGTAGTGCTGCTCCCCTCCCCATTTTTAAATTTTGCTGATGCACGCCAAGAATTATTCAGTCCCACCCAAGTGCAAAAGAGCTGTTAAGCATACTAAAGTTAAAACCAACAAAACAAACAAACAAACAAAAAAAAATCAATTACAACCGCAAGCTACCCTGAGGAGCTAGTGTATAGCTACACAACGTTCTGCAGTGTTGTGTTCACTTTCTAAATGCATTACAGTTTGGTTTGCATTTTCCCATCATAGCTGTATCAATGCCTGGTTTTTCTTTTTCGTATCTTTGCCCACACGATCACAGACAGAAATATTTGGTTCTGTTCTGTGACCATATCCCAGAAGGACTTTCAGTTTTTTTCCCCTTCCATCCACTCATGGCTGAATTCGCTATGACCTTTAAGTTACTTCTTGAAATAATTTCAACCAGCTAAATTCGGAATCGCAATCTTGTGTTTCGGTCTTACCCCGAGATTTCAGAAAACCACACACTTGGAACCCCATGCGCCAAAAGGCTGGCATTAATTTTAAACGTAACTCAACACACAGGGTAGTGGAGCCATGGATACTCAGTACTTATCTAGAAATCTGTAATTAGTGTCCCTGGAACCAAAGACGGAGCGCCGGTGCCCTTCTACGTAGTGGGTCGCGACAGGCCCATTGGCCACGGGATTGTACTAGTTTTAACAACTGTCTCTGGTGTCAAGGTATGTGTTCACGTGACTTGGAAGGCGCGGAGCCAATCCGGCCATAGTCCGAGGGGTCTGCACATCAGTTCTACTCGCTGCGTTGACTTTACCAAGATGGCCTCGAGGCCTCCGCCCGCGGGGCAGCCATCTTGGTAAAGGCCGGGCAGCGCCGGCGCCGGGTAGGACCCGGCCGCGGCCTGGGACCGCACGGTCAGAGCCGACGGCCAACACCAAAAACCGGCGAGGCGGCGCGCGATGAGGCGCTGCCTGCAGCTGCTGGCGCCCTCGGCGGAGCTGGGGTGGCGGGGCCGAGGGCGAAGAGACGCGGGCGCAGGGCGTCGGGCCACCTGCCGCGGCTCGGGAGCAAGCTGGCCCGCGGCGTCCGTGCCCTCCAGGGAGGAGACGCGGCGCCGCGCGGCCCGGGTCGCCCTCGGCGCAAGGTGAGCCCGCCCCTCCGCCCCGCCCCTCCGCCCCGCCCCCGCGGACTGGCTCCGCCCCCCAGCTCTCGCTCCACTCAGCGCCTCCGCTCCAGCCCGCCCTCTAACCTCGTTCCCACCCCTAACCCCGCCTCCCCCGCCAGGCCCCGCCCCCCGCCATGGCCCCGCCCCCCTGCGCAGCGCTTAGGCTCCCGGGGAACCTTAGTGCCTGCCTGGGAGCCTCCCTGCTGTTATCCTTGTTCCTCGCGGGAGGCGGTTTGGCGGCCGCGGTTCTCCTTCTCGGGTTTGCTCCTTCGTCCCGGTGTCGGCGTGGAGCAGCCTTTCTGGGGCTGTTTGGACACCTCGGTGAAGTACAGCGGGTTTCGAGTAGGTTTCCAGCCCGCAAGCCTTGCTTCCTCCTGGAGCTGCGGCACTTGTGAGTGGCAGGCTGCTTTTGGATTTATCGCACCTCTGGAGTTGCGGAGCCTGCAGCTCCGGATCCGCTTGGGTGAAGGCGGACCGTATTTTTAGGCGTCTAGAGGAGGGTAGCTGTATTTGGGATTTAAGATGCCACCATTTCTGCGGACTCCCGGGTTGCAGCTTCACGATAGGAATACAAGTGGGTGTATCTTCATTTGGCTGTATGTAAATGAATGGGGTCCGCAACTTACTCAGAGCAACTTATTCCGGCTTTATCTGTAATATTTATCTTCTGAAAAAGCTATCCCCAAAGCAGCCTTGCCTTTTTTTTCTTAAAGTAAGTGTAACTTACTTAACCACAGAATGAGGAAAACCACGAGGCAGGATGGGGAAGAGTGGCGAGAGACGATTTCTCTATCTATCTATCCATCCATCCATCATCTATCTATCTGTCTATCTATCTATCTATCTATCTATCTAATGTCTATCTTTTTATCTGTCTATCTATCTATCTATCTGTCTGTCTGTCTGTCTGTCTATTTATCCATCATCTATCTGTTTTGGTCCAGGTGCTTGCTCCTTAGATCGGGTATTACTGAAGGCGGGGGTAGATGGACTCCTTTCCCAAGGAGCGCGGTATGGCCCTGTTAGTTGTGAATATGCTTTCACGGTCTCCAGACGAACCTGGATGATGTGTAACACTCACTCAGACCCAGACATCATTAAGGGAACGAGAAAAGTCAACAACCTCTAAAAAGTCTGGGACTTTTCCCTTTGCCCTCATTGTGAGCTGCTTTATGTGTGGCTTGCATGGTTGGTTTTGGTTTAGCATGAAGTCAGAAAGGCACTCTTGCAACACACTTCCCTGGAAATTAAGAAACAATTTTCATCCTTATTATTTCATTATTATTTATTTTTGGAAGTATAACAGTACCTTTTCTGGAGTTAGTGGTACTGACACGGTTTAGAAGTAAGTTACATAATCTTTAAAAGATTGGTTACTTGTATCTTACAACAGTCTGTATTTTTCTTTAAATAGTTTGATTTTTGATGTAAGGAAATACTAGCTCTGTTAAAGAATTTTAGGGCAAATATATGTGTTTAAAATCAGAATCTAAGAGGAATTGAGGGTTTAAAACAGGTATAAGTCAACTGGAAATACAGCCATAATTTCCAAAGGTTTTATTTTGTTAACATTTTTGCAGATTTGCTGGCTTCATGAATTATATAGCAGGTATCCAACAGACAAAATCATTAGTATATTTATCATTTTTCCATTTCCACTCACAATTTCAGATTGGATTGGACAGATTTTACATTCCAAAACTGATTTTTAAAGTTTGTTCAGTATGACTATTTGAAGACGTTTTAATATAAGCATTCTGTCATAAGGCCTGGGTTGTTTTATTTAGTAAGCTTTTGGTTATACTTTAGTTGGTGAGCCATCTCTATTTGTTTGAAATAAATTTTATTTTCCTTTAGGTATTTAGAAAGCCAAGGGTATTTTTATGGAAATTTAGTTAATATTTTGACTTTAATTTTGTTTTCTCTCTCTCTCTCTCTCTCTCTCTCTCTCTCTCTCTGTGTATGTGTGTGTGTATGTTTCTCTCAGTGGTGCATAGCTGTAGCTCTACTGGATTTTTCCATTCCTTTTCATTCTGTATGACTAAGAATGTGGCTGTATGGAGTGCCTTGCTTATCTTAGTATTTTAGATAGAAATAAGTACAAGTAAAAAGTGTTTTAAGTGAAGTACTGTTTGGGAGCTAGACTGTATACATTTTCATCCTGAAAACCTATGAAAGTATAAATAAAATTGGGATAATCATCAACCGCAGTGATTTCCACTATAAGGCTCAGGTAATCGTTCACTCTAACTCTTACAGTATTGAAGAATTCTACATGTCTATAACTTCGTGCTTTACTTGGCTTGTCTTTTGAATGTAGTAACCATTGTTATATATTTATTCTATTAATTGACTTTTACAACAGATTATGTCTGTTCTTGCCCCAGGAGTATACACTGTAGCAGTGATACTCATCCTACTTCCTACTAACCTTAAATAATGTATTATAACTTAATCATTTTCCAAGATATTTTTGAATGTTTATTTTTAATTGATCTTGTAGATGTAAAATACATGAGTTTATTAATACTGTTCCGTGGATAGAAGCAGGAATTTGAGATCCTTTGAGATGTTAGGCCAGCAACTGATTCATGTTAGACAAGTCAAGCAGACAAGTCAAGATTGCCAACATGATATAGACTGTATTCCTACACTGAATAAAAAGTTGGGAATGGTCATTGTCATTGGCTGTGGAGGCACAGGACTGGATTTAGATGGATCAGCATAATTCAAAAGTGTGATTGAAAAACTATTCTTTTTTAATATAATTTTTTTATTTATACACAATTTATTCACTTTGTACCCCAGCTGTAGCCCCACCCTTGTCCTCTCTCAATCCCACCCTCCCTCCTTCCCTCTTCTCTTCCCTAGTCCACTGATAGTGTAGGTCCTCCTCCCCTTCCATCTGACCCTAGCCTATCGGGTCTAATGCTGGGGGTGGGAGCACATATTTATAATCCTAGCATGTAGTTGAGAGAGACAGGCTAGGGAGTGTGAGTAGGAGGCTAGACTGGACTACATAGAACAGTTCCAGGCCAATTTAAGATGCCTAGCAAGACTGAGATAGAGAAAGGGGAGGAACCTTCCCATATTAAGGGACACTAACATACAGACCAGAGAGTAAATGTCTGATGAATTCTTTGTGATCTTGTAATCCTCCCCAGGTGTAAGAATAAAATTATGAGGGTAAAGAAGCACTACTAGCAGTCCTTAAACTGGTCGCTTGTTTCTTCTATCAGAACCTTGGCCTACAGCGATTAGACGACCACAGTAATTTGTTTTGGAAGTTATTTTCTGTGTTTGAAGCCCCTTGCTCAACCTGCAATGATATTTGTTGCCTTTTTTAAAGTGTGTGGCTTTCTAGTTTGCTTAGAAAGCTCATGAAAAAAACTAAGCTTCCTCTCTTCTACTGTAGTTAAAGTAGCTAATAGAACTAAAGATTCAAGAGCTTCTGGACTTAAATTACTTTTTGTTTTTTTTACTAAACAAAGTCCTGACCTTGAGGTAGAATGTTTTTGTTTCTCTTCCCTGTTCTGGGCATGTTCTTTGAGTGCTGTTCTAAGGATTTTTAGTTGAGATCTAATCTTAACTATTCAAGGATAATTAAGGGGAGAGCATGGCTAATAGACAGTCTAGACTCCTCTGGCCAGATTCAGAGCCTGGGAACATCGCAGAGCTCTGTGGCCTGACTTGCTTTGCCTGTAAGGAGGTCACACATGTGATGGCTTTTATCATGGGATATTCAAGTGGGAAGAGACCCTGGAGGGTATGGGCTTGGTTCAACCTCTTCAGCTTGCAGATCTACTCCTCTCACAAAAGCTCAGCTTTGTCACGATCTCTCAAAACTGTGCTGTTAGCATTTCACAGAGGTGATATCCTTGTAATGTTGTTGAGGGAATGTTGATTCCTTAGTTTTGGCTTGGTGTTCTGTGTAAGCTTTTGTTCACTGTTGTCTGTAAATGTGTGTGTGTGTGCTGTTTGTAGCCTTTTTAAAAAATGGGATTACTGCTGATGCCCATACGCTGAGTATCCTTCCAGTGAAGAATTTGACCTATTAAACTTTTTTCATGATCTCAGCAACATTCTCTTGGCTAAGCATGGTCATGCACAGCATTGTGATTTCTTTTTGCAGGGCCACTCAGATATTTTAAGTCCTGTTTTATCTTCAATTTAGTGTAAACCGCATACTTTTATAAATTTTGTTGGCACAAGAATGCATTTTGTGCTACTGAGGAGTAGGCATTGGTACTTGAAGGACCAGGGCTTCTCAGGATGCTGGACTGTGGATTCGAATAGTAGGAAGTTCCCCAAAACTTCCTACTATGTTGGTCCCCTATCTGGAGATGACTCTTTATAGAAGGATGAAATGCAGGCTGGACTTACAACGCCTTTTCAAAGCAGGGAAAGTATCCTCAAGGCACCACATATATTTTTTGTTTCATATAACTGAAACATAGAATTTTATTATTAATTTGTTAATTAATCTTATTGATTATCTGTTGATGGGTCCTTTGGATAATTTCAAGTTAGACCATTAAGTAATTAAAGTAGTGCAATTTGAAAACCATGTAAAAGAGTAAATTTTGTTTTCAAGGAACTAGTGCTTATTGAATGTCTCCTAATAGCTTCTTAGAAAAGAAAACAAACAAATAAACAAACATTTGGTTGAAAGCAAAATAAAGTGGGGTGGTCTTGGCACACACCTTTAGTCCCAGCACTCTCAAGAGGCAGAGGCAGGCTGATCTCTGTGAGTCTGAGGCCAGACTGGTTTACAGAGTGAGTTCTTGGACAGCAAAAGGCTACAGAAAGAGACACTGTCTCAGTAATAATAATAATAATAATAATAATAATAATAATAATAGTAACAATAAATAATAAAAAAGACTAACTCTGTCTCTATGTCAATGCTAGTAATTTTGAACCGTCAGTTGTACTTACCTGTTTGGGGTTTAGCCAGTGTGGGTTGGTTGGCTCCTGAGATTGGCTCTTACTAACTTCTTGACTTTATGCAGACCCTACCTTTAGCTGCTGTTGTTTAGGAGCTCTTTTAAACTTTTCAGTTCTGGCAGCTGTATTGGACAGGGTTAGTATTGGGTCAGTTTGGAAGATTGCTTAAATCTGTTTCTCCTATATGTGTAAGAAGTACGAAACTGAACTGTTTTGACTTAGTGTAGGGAGCACCATTCCTAGGGTGTGGGCTCCAGATGGCTTCATGCAGCAAGATGCAGGAGGAATCTTCCAGAAACACCGTATGTGACTGATGTTACATCATTTGATCAGAGTCTGACCAACGTGGTCATCCCTTGCTGGAAGGCTTGAGATGTAGCTGCTCAGCTGGTGTTATACCCTAAACAGAGCAAGGGAGCCTGGATTTTAGTCTTTTACCTTATA